TTGCAATGGACTAATTTGTTTGCTTATCTCTGATTTCTACATCTCCTCCTATTGTTATATTCATCTTTCCTATTTTGTATGAGGAATTTATTTAATTTGCACATTCTCCCTTCAGAGGTATGCTTAGTAGTTTAATTACTGTATTCTTTTTCAAACAGTAGTGATCAGCAGTCTATTTATTTCTTCTTGAGTTACAAAAATATTATTTTGTTGTTCTGTAGTGTTTGAGATGCAACTTGTTTCGTTATGATATTGACTTGCAGTTTCTCTGCTTTACTTTATTCTTGCCTCTGGGATTGAACAGGATTTCTTTAGTAACCTATCTTTGTAGAACATCCTTGAGCCATATGCCCTGCTTGTTCACAAGTATAACAATAGGTATATTACTAATATTATTACTTCAATTTTCTATATTTCATTCTCTATTATCAAAGGTATAGTTAGGTTATCCATGAAATATATTCACTGGCCCATCACTCTTTTCTACAATCTTTCTTAACATTTTGACTATTGGAGTTAGAGTCCTTTGTACTGCTCATTCCACTGCATCTTTCTTATTGTAGTTTTGTCGTGGAGAGACATAAACATGATATTCGCAAACGAAGTGACACCATACCCAACTACTTCAGAGTAAGTCTGCATATTATTTTCAAACTGTTTCACAATTCTAATCACAGATTTCAACGTAAGATTCTTTTGTGACAAAATCAATAGGTGATCTTGATAAGTAATATCCTTTCGTAGTTTTTTTAAAAATTGTCAGACTTTTTCATCACTGCTCCACTTGTTTTTGCCATCAATTCTTTTTATCAATTTCTTTACGTCATTGACGTACTGCTCCATGGTTTCGCTCAATTTCTGTATTTTCATTTGTAGTTTGAATCTCTTTGGTTAATGAATATGGTAATCTTGAAGGTAACTAAAATGAAGGTTCGAATAACATTTGCTCTCTCTTGTTCCAATATGTAATAAGATTTTGTACTCTTTAAATTTCTGCAAACTATTGTTTTGAAACACTTTGTAGGTATCTATCAACTATACAAAGCTTATACTCATTGGTATACTGGTTTATTTTTGCTAATTTATTGTATTCCTCTAATTATTCCATAGGATCTTAACTCCCTCCATGAAATAATAACATTCGTGTATTATTTTGTATATAGAAAATATCTTGTAGCCCTCTGATTAGAGTGTTAGTTCTGTTTTCTTCAACACTACAGCTTATCACCCTAGTTATGTATCTTCATAACAGATTAGATGTTTTCTTTATTATACAAATTTCTGACATAGTTAACTTCATCATTAGTCCTTTGATTTGTAGAAATTTTACTATACTAAAGACTACTTTGATCTTCTGTATCTTGAGGATCTTGTCAACAGCTATTCTCTCAATCTATTATTTTCTTGAGGAAGTATCTTATGTAATGTACTTATTACTTTTTTGCGATAATATAATAAAATTATCTAATTTTGACTCTAACTAGATTTGTCAAGGATTTATATAAATTTGTTAAACAAGACTATTCCAAATAAAGATACCTTATATCACATCTCACAGGAGATATCAAAATCTGTCACATCTGAACAACTTTTAACGAGATTACATAACAAATTATGTTTCCAATCACAATAATAGCTTACACTTCTTCATGTATCACTATACAGTGTAACAACTTTAAATAACAACTACAAAATCATAAGTATTATCTAGAAGGTATATGAACAAGTGAAGTAGAGATAGTTTTTCCTATGTATACTATTGATACTAAAACAGATTTACGAGAGATGAAATATTATTTATAATTAGACAACCAGAAGAAAGTTTTATTAGAAGTTAGGTAACAAAATATTACAATGATGTGTTTCTATTCTGTTACAAATTCTACTATTTATATGAGTATTATTATAAATGTTGTTATAATTATTTAATAAAATAGAATAAGATAATAAAAAAATGAAAATAAAGAGATAAAATATCAAATGTTGCTATCTTAAAAATATGCCGCTCAAAAGGTACACACTTTTTTTCCTCTTGCTACTACTACTTTTATATTTCTTTCTTCACCATCATTCCCATCATTCATACTTCTCCATCATTTCTATCATTATACAACTTCATCATCTCTATTATTGTACAACTCCATCATTTCCATCATTGTACAACTCTATCATTTCCATTATTGTACAACTCCATCATTTCCATCATTTGTATTTCCACACCATATGTTTTCTGTACTGCCATCTTCATACTATCTTACCAATCCTTCGTCGTCATCACAATATCACAAAAAAAAGTCCTAATGACAAGTTTTCTTTTAGAAACAAAAATTGCATAACACGATTAGAATACAACCATATGTGACATATGACATAACAAAAAAAACAAAAAATGTAACACAAAACACATAATGAATAAAATAAAATTCAATATTCACATGAATCAAAAAAAAAAAAATAAATAAAAAAATACTGTAGCAAAGCTACAGGTCTAAAACTAGTATAATTTAAAAATTCATTAAAATGATTATCATATTAACTAAAATACTTAAATTTCTTGTCATGATATGTAATTGAATCAGGTTTAATTTTGATCATGACTACCTCTTTCTTCGCTAAGCTGAAAAAGAAAGCAAATTCCATTTTGCAAATCTTTTAATTTGGAAAATTTTCATTTTTGTAAAGTTTATACTTGCACGCAAAATTATTTTGGGGCCCTGAAATTGCAATTTCGGGGAAAAAAAGTTGAAATAGTTTTTCATAGAAGACAAAATTATTTTACTTTAAACCCGAAATTTTTTGACCACCTAGATTTATTTCTTGATTAAAGATACATATAACTAGGTACTTTTTTTACATCTATATATAGAATAGATTTTGTATAAATCTCAAAAAGTCGAAATACCTTAAAAATCCAAAATCAATTTTGGGAACATGTATAGTAAAGTTTCTTTAAAAATCATTTTGATTGTTTGTCCAGTCATCCCATTATAGAACCTCACTTAGATGATTCTGAAAAGAAAACCATCAAAAGCTGATCTGAGTAAATTGTGTTATTACAAAATTACTCAAATTAGGAAATCCATCACATTTCATCTCACAGTAATATAACACTACCAATACAAACAATAAAAAATATTAAAGCACACAATTCAGTCTTTAATAATATAGATAATTTCCTTTTTTGATTTTTTTTTTAGATTTCACAATCCTTTCATATGTCATTAATTGTCTATATTGCTAATTCAATTAATCAAAACTAAATTTGTTGTGAAAATATTCCACGGTATGTGAGTGACTAATCAGCAAAATTATAATTGAAAAATTACAATCTTTTCTGTAATTACGGCAAAAATTTTCAACATTAGATCAAAGGTTCATGAAATTACTAGGCTAAAATTATATATTACGGACTAGATTAAGATAATTTTAAATTATTGGTAATTTAACATCTTTCAAATGATCAAAGTTAACACATGAAAAGTTAAATAATTTTTATAAACAAAAATAATTTATCAAATCTGAAGTACAATAATAAAAATAAATCAATTACAATCTAATTAAATATTATAACTTAATTACATATTACAACTTAATTACGTATTGTAACTAAGTTACAACTTACAACCTTTTTATGATACTTTTCAACTTTGAACAATAGTTGAATTTTCTATTTAAATAGATATAACATCTCAAATTAAATTTCCCATTAAAAAATCAAGCTTAATAAGTAAACGATTTCTTGAATTATAAAAACAAGAAAAAAAAAGAAATTATTTTCTTATTAATATCATCTACAAAATTTCAATTAATCTTTATTTTAACAGATAAGGAAAGGTAACAATAAAATTTGTATTATTATAAATCAAATTATTTACACTTTCACTTTTATCTTCTATTATGAATTTGTTATTATTATAAAACCATCATTATTACTTATCTATTTTGTCAGCTGTTAACAATTTATTATTATAAGACTGGTTAATACAATTGTTCTGGTTAAATTTGTTCATCTTTTTCTTTAAATAAACAATCTTTTTATATACTGTATTCTGATATTTATATTTGTTATTTGTATTTATTTTTGCAATGATTTGCTTTATCATTATAGCACAACATGTCTTGGTATTTGCCGTTGCTATCGATAAGTCATATTCGTGTCCTGGTAAGTTAGGCTGCTGTCTTTGTTTAATAAAAGTAGAATAGATTGTGTTTGTATTTAGTAATATATGTACATTATGCATTTGATTTTCTTTACTTGTTTATTATTTTTTGTTAGTCATTTTTAATAACTTATATAAATGAATTTACAGTATTTGATTTTCAATGGTTAAAAAGGAAATTGATTTCATTTTTCATTTTTAGATTTAGATTTCGCAATAAATTAAATGTGAATTTTGAATTATTTATAATTTATCTTTTCCCTAATCTTCGTATTGTTTGGATCACAAACTCAAATCTATTTTTATTCGTCAGTTATAAATGTAACTTCATTTATTTTTGCAAAGCATTTTGTGTGAATATCGTCAATGGCATTTTTAATGTACTATTACTTCTTCTATCATTACGATCTATACAGTAAAAGTATACAATTGACATACTATCTTATATAAAAAAAAATATTATATAGCGAAGATAATTTGTATCCATTGAACTGTCATGTTCACAAAATATATCAAAAAAACTCGAGGAAACATTGTCATTAACAAGCTCCACAGAGAAAGATTCTCTATTTTTCAGTAGTTACATAGCAATAGTCAACAAATTGTTACTTTTACTCCAGGTAAAGTTAATTATTAATTAATTATTAATTATTATACCGATTATTCTTTTTACTTTTAATAATTTTTTTAATAATTCTTTAATAGAGTCATATGAATTTAAGCTATACAATATTGCTAATTTAAGTTCAAGCAAACCTGTTTCAACACTTCAATCAGAAATTAATGGTAAACACCTTTGTTAGTCTATAGCAATATCAAATTGTGTAGATGAAGGCAAAAATGAGTGCCTTATTGTATTGTCTTGTTTTGATGTACGAGGGTTTTGTAATGATAAAATCCTTGGTAACGACAAAAGTAATGTAAAATTTGGTGATAAATTTCTTCATCCTTAAACATGGGTTATCTCTACTACAGATATAAATGAAATTTATACTTCATCGATTGGAGGTATTATAAGATTTCTAGATAATGATGATAATCTTTTAAAAAACAAAACAGTAATCATTATAGTTAATGCATCAGGAATTTATAAGGAAACCATAAATAATATAAAAAGACAGAGATTCTTCTCACAGTTGCTTAAGATTGAGCAATTCGAATTACTCCAACAACTTTTAATTCGTCTTTCATGTGATTATTGGCAAAATTCATTAGAACGCTTACATACAAGTATTATTAAAAATCATTTTATGATAAACTCTTTTGAAAATTGACAACAAATCATTGAAATATATAGTTTAATAACTGGTTATCTAGAGATGTTATTCAAACATCATGTATCTTCTTTAGCTCCTAACATAATTCATGATTCTTTTATTTTTGTCATCTCTCAAAATGAAAAGATTTTAGCATTTTGTCAAAGAACCACAAGTATTATATTATAATATATGGAAAATGATTTAGAAATTACTATTAAATAATTAAAAGGTCAAAGAGAAATTTATAAAATTGTTGCTGCGAATTTTATTGATAATGATAGTAAACTTTAATAGTTCTTAAAGAATATCAACAAGTTAAAATTCATAATTATCAAATATTCGTAGTATGGTATTTATTTACAACATTTGAAAATTCCATATGTCAAATTAATTATTTCAAAATTCAACATCTAAAAATGAATATCACACATAAAATGATGAATTCTCATAGAAATATGTTTGTAATTAGAGATAGTGAAGACATTTTTTCAGTGTTGGAATATAAAGATTTGGCTTTAATAAGAAATCTATCAACGAAAGCAATAATAGAAATCGATATTACTACAAGGGATCACGTTTATCATGTAATTTATAATATAGAAGGGGAAAGGTCTAATACATTAAAATTAGCAAAAAATCAAATAATTATAAATAATGTTGAACTATGGTATCCAAACAAAAGTTATTTTCAAATATCAGTTTACTTGGATTCTACTGAAAGTACTCAATTAATTATTTCAAGTAATACAATACAAATATGGAAATATAGTAATTATAATACTATAGAAAAATGAGATAAACCCCGTGATCGAGTATTAGAATATATATAGGCTCAAAATAAAATGATAGATGCTCACGAATTGAGAATTGGAGAATGAGAATTCGTGTTAAACATCAGGAAATTTTTTCTAGTGAAAACCTTCGAAAGTTAACGTTAACGTAAGTATTTCGCTATTTTTCGATATGT